AAGTTATCCAGGATTAAATCATTCTTATAGCCCTTTTCAGAACTGTTTTCATCTTTCCAGCAACTTTTGTTTAAAGCGTGGATCCCAACAGGAGAAGTGAACTAATAATGGTGTTATGAATGCTACATGTAGCTGCAATAACACTTCTTTTAATTGATATGGATCCACAGTCTGTGCATTAGCTCCTCTAATTGCATTAATGTACAGCAGACTCTCATTCAGCTAGTTATGTGCTATTTCCCCAAATCATTTTCTGATAAGCCTTTCAGAACTCAGTTTTCCACAGCCTACTTATGACTAACATTCATGGCTTCTAACACACAAATTTGCATTTAAACATGCTGTATTTGTTTCCAGGTGAGCTGGAGAGCCAGGAAATGTCTGCCATGTTTCAAACATTGCAGAACTGGACAAAGAACGTCTTGCGGGGGGGGGGTGGAGTTTCTCAAATTAGTAGCAATTACCTGGAAATATTCTGGAAATATATCTTGTCCTATGTTTGTTTGTTTGTGTGCCTGAACAAGTTCTTGTAAGCACATGTATAATTCTACTTAATGCAGCTCTCTCTATTTCATATTTAGTCAGTCTTACTGTGTTTATCACAGAGATCGTATGCAACCCTGATTAGAATGATAAGCAGGAGAGACTTCATGCCTCCCAGCCTCCCTCAGCTAAAATCAGCTAATGGTGACACTTCCTCTCAACCCCCACTCTGAAGAAGGTCTGCAGCAAAACAGGATATTTACAAAAAAATAAAACATAAATGAAGAGGTGGTGAAGTGGAACCCAGAAAGATTCCTTTTCTCTTTGTCAGTTTTTGAAACATTGTAATTATTTTACTATTTAATTCAGAAAAGGGACACCATAAGCAGGCATAATTATAGGAAAGATGTTGATATGTGGATGCTGCTGTCTTGCTTTGTGAAATCTGGGACTGGAAGGATATACTTGGGCATGGAGTCCAGCTCCTGCTACTGTTGATCACATCAGATCATGTAATCCGTTCAGGAAAACAATCCTAATAATTGAAATACCACAATCCTTGCTAAGCATAGGCTCTTTCTCACTGACTCCTATTCAAGACTACTTCAGACCCTTTGTTGATTAGAAACCACAATCTTATTCTATAGCCAGGCTATACTCATTTGGTCTTGTGCTAATGCTGTACTTAGTGGTTGTCCTATGCTGACACTTCTCCCTCCCTTTTCCCCAGCTTCTTCTGAAAGAGGGATCATAACCCCTGGCAAATTTTGGTTGGGTGTTTTTTTTTTTTCTTTTTTGCAATAACTAAGCCAAGCTCTTTCAAGACAGATCATTCTCACAGTCTCTCGTTACCCCAGCCCTAGAGCTCAGTTCCGTGTCCATGCTTGTCAAGCAGTGCAAACAGTGTTCCTCCAACATTTTTTGAGTTTTTCAAGTAACTGTTTTTGTCTATATTTATTAGTGGTCTCTGTCTACAAACTCGCTCCATCTTTTCTGAGTTCCAGGCTGAGTCATGGGCTCCTTAGAGCAGCACACTACCTGCAGAGGTGCTGGGCTCGTTTGCTGTGTTAAGGTAATGGCAAATATTGCAAACTGAAAGCATCTTTAAAAAACACTGTATATTGCTGAGTAGATCAGGTCAGGATTCTTCATATTAAACTTTGTTGGAAAATCATAAAATCAGAGAATTTTAATGAAAATATCATTTAAAATGAAAACTTTATTAGGAAAGACTTCACAGAATGGAATTTCTGGTTAAAAAGAAAGAGGAGTCCAGCATAACCTTGTAGAGAGATAGTGTTCCATATTGCAGAAGATAGATACACTTCAAATATCCTTCCACCATCCTTCAGTAAATTAAGTAACAACTAGGCCCTAAGTATTCTATATCCTAAATGAGTGCTTTGACCAGGAGCATATCAGCTATTCCCTCTGTTTCTGTCTTTTGGAGGTTGGGTTTTTTGGTTTGGTTTTTGTTTTTGTTTTTTTTACAGCAAGGAAATACTTATGAGAAGGAAATATGACCCCAAGATTCCCACACTGCAGATGAGCAACTAGGTTATCTGCTTGGAATTTTAGCTTCTTGTGTATGTGTGTTTGTGTGTCTGAGAGAGAGAGAAAATTATGTTAGGTCTTTATTTTGTTCAGATACAAAATGGGTGAATTTCTAAAACAAAAAATCTGTAGGATAGAACAGTTTTTGTTCCTGACCTCACAGCCTTTCACACTGGCTCAGGACAAGTCCAAGTGGCTTGAAGAAAGGCTCTCTCAAAAGTTTTGTGACACCAGCATGACAAGCAAGTGTTCTTCTAGTGAAGAGAAAAGGGAGGTGCAGAAGACCAGTTACTCAACTCCCTCAAGATAAAAAAGAACCATCATTAAAGGCAGGCAGCAGTGTTTGTGCTGTAGGTGGCTTTCAGCAGGTGACTACTGGTGGTGGACAAGCTCATGACAGAAAAAACTATTGAAGTCTTGAATATGCAGAAGTTTTGTCTGGTCTGGGAGGCCCCTGAGCTGCAAGTATCTGGAGGCTGAGAATGTTCTCAGAGAAGAATATCTATGCTTCCTCTATTGCTACAGTTTTCTCTAAGCATCTGGTTTTCGTTACAGTAAGAAACATGATACAGGGAAATATGAACATTTGTTCCAACCCACTGCAGCTCTCTACTGCTCTTAAAATGTCATAAATCAGATGCCAAAAAATGCAGGAAGAAGGAAAGATAGAACCCCCCCCACCCCCCCCCCCCCCGATAAAATCACAGGAGTTAAAGATTTCCTTTCAGGCAGCTGGTGCTTTAGATTCCTGTGCAAAGTACTATTTACTGCCATGAGAAGTAGAGTTCCTATAGAAGAAATAATAAAGCTGAGCTGGTGCCCTGTCTGACAGAGTCAAGGTCAGCTTATGTCAGAGCTGGGAGAAGCATGTAGCTAAAGATTCAACCTCCTGGTACAAATACTGACAAAACTGCTTCTAACAATTGTTCTGTTTTAGATACTGTCTGGAATGGGAGGAGATGTGTGGCAGCTGGGCCTCCAGCTGTGCATTACTGCTGTGCTGTTCTTTGGTGGAGGAAGAGGGAGAGGTAAGAGGAGATCTGGAATAGGTCCACTGTGGGAAGAGAGGCACATGAATGTGCTCATTTTTCATTCACAGACTCTAAAGTATGCAATGCAAGATCTCGTCACTGCCCTTTCCTAGGAACCAGGACAGCTGGCTGGCAATGTCAGGCCTAGGGAACTGGGCACATACCGGACAAGCTGGGCAACAGAAAAAACATAGCCACTGCCCAAGGTCCCTGCCCTTATATCTTACACTCATCTCATGCAGTGAAGTGCAGTACAAGAGAGGAAGAATGTCACGAGGAAGGATAGATGAGGTGTCAGTAAAGAAAGCACTAGCACATAATGCATTTGATATACCGAGCAAGGCTTCATCAGGTGATACACGAATGCAGCTCTGGTCTCCTTCCTCTGCAGAGTTCCCTGGCAGCCTGAGCTGCCTGAATAACTACGTGACTACTGTGAGCTGCATGTGGGCAACGGAGGAGCCCGTGGGCAATGGACCTTTCCACCTGCATTTCACCAAGTAAGAGATGCGCACCAAGAGCTGTCTGTGGCAGCCCTGGCCCTGGCACGGGCAGGAGAGTGCAGAAGAGCAGAGATGGGGCCTGGCTGTGGGCTTTGTCCCCTCTGCAGTGGAGACCCGTGGCACAGCTAGCTCTGCCTCCTCATCGCCCCATAGAGGGGATGCCTCCGAAGCTGCTCCCTCTGCACCCTTTTGTGGGCCCACAGCCTTGGGGGTGCAGCAGAAGTCCAGCACACGCAACTGTGTGATCTCATGCTGGCTCAGGGCAGTCTGTCTACCTGTCCAGTGTCCCCTTCAGGCAGGGGCCTCTCAGCACAGAGAGCCTTCCCATCCCAGCCTCTGCTCCCCATGATCTGGGGACTTTCAGAGCCCATCCCACAGGAAGCTGCCTAATCAATTTCTAACCACTTCTTGTCTTGTTGCCTAGAAATTAAACCCTAGTGGTTTAATCTAAATTAGTTAATATATATATATACATGCACAAAAGGATTTTGAAAGTCCAGTGAGATATAAGCTTTAATACCAGGTTTAGAGTATTACGTGAATAATTTTTCCTCTAAGAGAAGAAATCGGGTGAATAGTTTGCTAGGTGATGGGATAATAAGCATTGTGATATGCTAACTTGAGATGAATGTGGTTTAGATTATGTAATAATGTTGTCTTGACTACCAATAACTAGTGAACTATTACACGAGGGTAAGCCACGCTGACATTAGATGCTTCATATGTTCTGGTAAGGTTAAGTCAAAAATAGCCTAACTCTTAATGACATTGGATTTTACATCTATGAAAAAATGCCAAGCTGATAAACTGTGGTATCCCAGTTTATTGTGGGGTCACATGCAACATGAAATACTTGCTAATAAATGGCTATATTAGATAATTTAGTAATAGAAGACTGTTCTTTGGAGCTATTTCCCCAAGATGATGTTCTCTGTCATTTGTCCTGTTATGCTGTGCTGAAGCTTGTGACTATTAAAAAAAAACAAACCCACAAACAAACAGCAAACCAACCTCTGACATGTTTTGCTGTCAGTAGAGGCTTTAATGTACAACTTGTTAGCTCTGTGCTGTGCACTTGTAACTAACTGTCCACCCACTCCTACCCCCCTACACCAGCTGCTTTCCTGGCAGCAACACACAGCAGCGCTTTCACTTTCAGAGGGAGCAGGGGGCAGCTCCTGGGAGGTTTGGTGGTCTCAGCAGTGAGGTTATGAAAGGTGTCTCCCTCCTCCCTCTTCAACCCTGCTGCCCAGCCAGCTTCAGCATTGCTTTCTCTGCTGTCTGCACTAAAGAGGTTCATGTTCTTCCAAAATGCGGTGCTGTGCTAAGCTGCTACCCATCTTTCATAAACTGAAAAGCACTTAATCATGTGACTGAAAAGAAACTTTCAGCCCTTTTATTCTTCCAGCCTCTGGTCAAAGGGCCACAATGCCAGCTGCAAACTGACTGCCACAGAGAGCATGCAGAATCAGTACCACTGCACAATCCATTTAGCCAGCCAGATCTTGGAAACAGATGGTTATAGAGTCTCCCTCCAAGGCAACTTCTTTGGACGTAATCACACGTACATTACCTTTCCAGAGTACAATCCCCGCAAGCACAGTAAGTATGAACCAGGGCAGCTGAGAGCTGAGGCTCTGCCTAGCAGCTTTGGGGTAGGTCTGATATGCTCTCTAACAAAGGGTTACTCACTCTCAAAGACAGTGAGGGAAAATAGTGGAAACAAGCCCCACTGCCCATCCCTGGAGAGTGCACTATGTGGACTTCATCAATAAGGACGCAGTCCCAGTGTCTCTCCATTCTGACTTTTCCAGGACTTCAGAGAGGGCTGGCTCTGGAACACCTTTCAAGTATACTTCTCATCTGCATCATGATTTCTTGTGCTGTGGATAATGTACAACTGGATTGCCTCTATTGTTGGGGTTTTTTCCTAAGAAATGAAGTCATGAGGAATCAAAGTCATGGATCTAATTCAATGTCCTATGGCCTGGTACTTCAGAGAAATGCTCTAGTATTTGAAATCTCAGAGACTGTCTATATTAGTGGTATGTTGGAAAAGCAGACCAGGAGTGGTTCTTTGCTTGCAGGACTATCCCCGGGTCTATCTGAGTTATCATTAATTTATGTCAGTTCCATAGCTGTTCTGACCTACCCCGTAAGCTAATTTGGTCTACTGCTGGTCTTGGTATCACTCTTTAGACCCAGCTTTATCTTCAAAGACTTTAGTCAGCCTAGTATCATGCATCTCCTTTTGTGGTGTTCATGTCCCAAATATTGTGAAAAACCCTACCTCTCTGTTTGCAGTAAAACTTGATCCACCTTTGAACATCCAGAGCAACGCCACTGCCAGCAAGTGTCAGATATGGTGGAGTGTGCCTTGGTATCTCGCTGACATTCTTCAGTATGAGTTGCAGTATAAGGAGTACAGCATGTCCTGGGAGGTAACTGGATGAGGCACACACTGATACTGCCTTGCTCTTCGGGTGCAGTGGCCTTGCCACTCAGCTCAGGGCCTTCTGGGAGCTGGCTGTTTTAAGCTGGCCTTCCTGGTTTCCCACATCAAGGCTGAAAGATTTTATATAAAACATCAATACTGAAGATTGCTCAATCTTCTTCTCCTGAACCCTGCATTCAGAAGTCATCCATCGTCATGTAGGCCCTCTTCTTGCATCCAAGAAAAGAGGATTTGGAAAAGAAAAGGGGGGCCAGGGTGTGTGTGTGGGGACAGGAGTATTTAAAAGACCATCCCTTTGCCTGGCCTTGTTAAGAGAAATTGTTTGTAATATTTTGCAGATCGCATTGAACAAGACACCACCCAGTTCACTGCCACAGATAGAAATTGAAGCCACAGAGCTTCGCAGTGGCATTGCTTACATTGCACGAGTTCGCTGCAAAATTTCTGAAAATGAGGATTCGTACCATAGTCAGTGGAGTGAGTGGAGCAAGACAACAGTGTTTCAAAGAGCAGGTACAAAGATTGTTATTTTTACCTTAATTAATGTCTTTTCATGTCCATGGTCCAAAAAAGGGAAGATACCTGGTAAAATGAAGCTTTTCAAATCAGAACCAGCTTCCTTCAAGTTTTTGTAGTCAAATAACTTTCCTTGAGGTCTTTAGGAGCCTGTTTCATTTGCATTGCTCGGTTCCTTGGGTTTCTATCTTGACTTCCAGACATTTGCTCAATTATTTTTGTGCTGATTCTTTTCCTAGGTGTACCAAAACTGTCTGAAAAGATCCTAAATACCAGAACTATGCAGTTCTTGTTCATTCCTCTGAGTTTTGGCACTCTACTCTATTTATGTTGGAACTGCAAGCTTTCTTCAAGGTATGTTACAGTTTTTCATTAAGTTCCCCTTGATCTTTATAGCCTGAAGAGGGTAAATCTAGTGTCCTTATATCCCTTTTGCATCCTGTTTCTCCTGCACAGATTCAACCGTCTTCAAAAGCTCTTTTGACAGTCTTGGGACATGACATTCCTTGGCTGATGATAGTTAATGACCCACTATGGGATCCTTAAGGAGACCAAGTGCTTTTGTAGCACCCAAACTCAGCTAAAGCTCAACGTTGAGGGTGTCTTGGAGTTAAAGAAATTTAAACCAATGGAAATTTTTTTGTTGAGTTCCATGTAGATAAATCAAAAGTGCAAGCACACAGCAATCTGTAAAGCTGGTTAAACTGATGTCAATTTGAAGCTACTTGTGACATACCTGGCAGTAGTCAGTATATAAAATACCAATATAGGCAAACTACACTGACTCAGATTCAGTGTTTCTTAGGTTCTGGGACCAAGTTGTATGGAGAAAAAAGTGTTTCTAGAACCTTGGTTCAACCATCCTCTGCAATTTTTTATGCTGGCAGAGCAAAGGTAAATCTCCTACCTCTTCCTTTTCTGCCTTGACATACATTATTATGCTCCATATACATATCACTCTTAGAGAAACAGAATACATGATAAAATATTTTTACAGGATAGACTTGATAACAAAGGGACTAGGATGTCTGGCAGAATTTCTCTGTCTAAATGTACTGAAACTAGAACTCTCTAAAACATTTCCAGAAACAGTGGTTTAGCTCAAATAAGTTGCTAAACAAATGTAGAAATAGCTCGGTGCATATAATGAGTAATAGACTAGTACTGAGTTTGCAGCATATAGCATTCCTCAGAAACTTTTAAGACTATGCTTCAGGCTAGAAATTTTAAATGCATGCACAGGAGGCAGAAAACAATTGCACGAGATGTCAGAAACCATGTGAAATGGGCTTCTCGTGCAATCTTTCTAGCGTAAGTGTGGGGCTTTCATCTAATCAGTGTGCTGTATCATAAAGACAGAATACAGAAAAAATTGTCTGTTTTTTTTATTTTAAGTGTTGTTTTCTCACTTCAGGGCAAAAAGCCTCTCCTGCTTTAACATTCCCACGCCAGCTGCTTTCTTTCAGCCACTCTATAATCTGCACAATGGGAATTTTAAGGTAAGAAGTAAGTTTCATTTCTTTCTTATGACCCTCAGTTCATGAGAGGAAGACTTTTTTTCTGGGATTAATCATTCTAGCTCCTGAGCAGGATTACTGACACATGGTTCCAGTCTTCCTGGGAGTTTATAGTTTCTCAGTTTCCTGCCTCCACATACCAGCTAAACCACCAGAGCTTCTGTCCAGTTTCTCTGTCCTCAGAAATAAAACCCCTCCCGTCAGTCACTCCCTATCCATGCTGAACATGAAAGGTGCACCCTGTCTTTGCAAAGACAAAGCAATACAAGCAGCTGCAGTATGTTCTGGAGGTAAAATCTTGAAAATTTCTTGTGACATCTTGTGAAACTAGCAGCTGGATTCTCTACCCTATTACTCTAACTTTGCCCAGTAGATTTGCACTAAATCTCTGGATTATTGTGCCAAAGCCATATAGAAAGAAGAGTTATACTGCAAACTCCAACTCTAAGCAAAATGTCCTGAACTTATTGATCCTTTCACTAGGACTGGGTTGGACCTAACGAGGCTTGTAGCCAACTTGGAAGAGAAGAGGCCAGGAACTCAAACAAAGTGACTGCAGATGGAGTTTCTGAGCTAAACACCCAAGAACTGATTTCCCAGATCTCCTTGAAAACTATGGAAAGCACAAATCTGATTGCTGCAGAAGAAAACTTTGTATTTGCCTCAGGTCCAAGCCAGCAGTATGTTCCCAGCAGGTATGTAAGAGCAGAAGAGACAGAAGTGAGGCTGGGAATATTGTTTGCACAAAACCATGCAGATGATACAGTTGGCCTGAAAATCTCTGAAATAATTAAAGCCAACCTTGAGACCCCTAGCATGGGAAGGAATTATCCCCCTCACTCACAGTATGGAAAGGGTGACTTCCTTATGCTTCAGGAATCTTTAGAGATAGCAAATGTGTCCTTCAGCAGCAGTGACTATTGTACCTTGTGTGACAATGATACCACAGGTTTGATTTCTGCTGAACTACTGAAGCTCTCCAAAGGTAATAGTCTTGTCAAACATCAGAATGATCAGAGTGACCTTCCCTGAGGAATACTGCCTGCAAAGGTTTTTGTGCTGTCCTCTCACCTTCCCAACACTGTCTTCCCAAGTGGCTTAAACGGTGACTGTGCAGACAATTACACACACGTAGCATTTTTAGGTAAATCCTCAATTTCTGTACTTCAGAAGAAGATTGGGACCAACTCCTCTGGCTAGCAAATACTACCCCTACAGGCATGGCAAGGCCTGACTCTAGCAACATCGGCTGTCTCAGGAGACACTTGACCATGCCCTTCCCTATATTAACCTCCTGGCAGTAGCAGAAGTCCAGCAACCCCCTAGTCTAAGGAAGCAGTAGCAGACCTGCTGTTTTTCCTCAAAAAGAGTTATTGCAATTCTGTGCCTCTCAAAAGCAGCAATATTTGCAATGTGCTGAACCATGATTTAAACTCCATTGTTATTTTAAAACTATGTACATTTTTTCATAAAACCATGATAAACAATTTTTGCTAAAGAGGGTAATTTTGCTTTTTAATATGATATTGATGACTTCAAATTGTTCTTTATTTCATCAGAATTTATAATTGCACTATTTAAAGATAATCAGGCAGTGGGCCTTGTTCTTTATTATCCTGAATGGCTGTAACTTTTTATTTTGCAGTAATTAAGCCCCATGTACTGCTTTGATTTTAACAAAAATTTATTCCAAGGTTAAGTGGCTGGGCTGATCTAATGGAGAAAGGTGAAAAGCAAAAATAGCACAAATGAGCTTTATTTAATTACAAAACAGGACAGGCCCACTGCCTTTCCAGGGCTTTTATTATTTCTCCAGAATTGACAAGTCCTTTGCCTATCTGCTCAACAGGTACAAACTTTGAGCTGAATCTCTGGCAGTTTACTTTCTGCCCTAGACACAGAAAATCCTATATATGATTGATTACCCACCAAGCAGATTCCTGGACTCTCATTTACATCTCCTAGATGTAAAGGGCTCAACAGTTTTAGCAAGCATACTGAAAAGTGTGCAAGTGCATCTACACTAGCTGGCACGTGCATGCATACAAGTCACATTCATTCCCTCCGCTTTGGGAGTGCTTCCCTTGTCTCTCTGGTGACTGTTAGCACTGATCAGTTTTGACAATGCAAAGAAAGATTTCAGTTATAAGTAACAAAGTAGATCAAGACACCCTTCCGAAATACATGTGCTAAGCCAGAGAACTAGTGGGGGAAGTCTTCCATCTGGGAGAAAAGCAGCAAAAGAATAGGGAGTTTACACCCAACTTGTGTGACAGCCACAGGAGGTGCCAGCAGTGATTTGTTTTCAGTGTTGTAAGCAAAGGGCTTTTCTGATATCTGAAAAAAATATCCCCTTTATACTCCTTTGTGCTTTTTATCTTGTAAAAACTATATTCAAGGGTGCTTTTTATACTATACCACAACCTAATGGCGTTAGAAGAATGTGGTGTTATTGTCATTAACAGTTGCTATAATTTCCTCTGGAGAAGAAAATCTGTAAAACAAGACCACATGCTTGAAGGATTTTGGTGATGCCAAACTTTTAGACCCCCTACTGTGGCTTGATTTGGTGTCCCAAATTTCAAATCTTCGGAATTAGAGTGATGCTTCCTGAAATTGTCAGATCAGTTGTATCTTAAATCTCTCAGATCTTGACAGCCCTTGCTTATGAACATGTTTGCACAGAAACTGAGCCAGTTTCATAAAATCTTGTTCAGCTAACAACGTATTCTGTACTGGTAATATTAGCAAAAGGAGAATGGGAACAATTATATTCAGATGTGATTAAGGAGCTGCAGGTAAGGCTATGGAATGGAGACCACAAAACTTAATGAGATAGAGAAGCAAAAGGAAATAGAGAGATTGAATGTAGTAGGAAATTACTTGAGAGAAATGAAAAGTCAAAGATGCTGCTGTCTGTGTCCATTGGGCCAGGACAGGAAGACTGTAAGAACTGAGTCTGGAGATGATGACAGGCTGATGGT